AATGAATAAAAATATTATGTTAAATATAATGACTGTAATAAAAAGAAAACTATAATAAATCTTTAACTAAACCTACAATCCCAGGAGCAGCTGCAAGGTCCATGCTGCCTCTGTTGTGGATCCAACTAGGGATCTGAAAATCTTCATTGAGGCTGGTTTAGTAAATGATCTCCAAGCAAGTGATCCCCTATGGAATAGTGATCATAATATGGTAAAATTTAGCATTCAGTGTGAGAAACTTGGATCAGAAACAATGTTACTTAAACCTAAATAAAGGTAATTACATAGGGATGAGGGCTGAATTGGCTCAAGAAGACTGGAACAGAAGTTCAGCAAAAAAGATGATTTGAGGAACAATAGCAGATGTTTAAGAAAATAGTTCATGATTCACAGCAAAGATATATCCCAGTAAGGAAGGAGGATTCTAAGAGGAAGATAAGCTGGGATGGTAAGGATAGTGGCAAACTGAAAAATTAAAAACATAACAATGTGGCAAAGATTAGTGGTTAAACCAGTAGATTGGTAAAGGTTTAAAGCCAACAAGGGATGACCCAAAAAAGGGAGAAAATAAATAATGAGGGCAAACTGGTAATAATGTAAAAACAGTAAGAGTTTCTTTAAATATATAAAGGAAAAGAGAGGCCAAAGTGAACCTAAGGCTCTTAGAGTACGAGGCTGGAGAACTAATAATGGCAGAGGAGTTGAATAAATATTTGCATATGTCTTCCCAATAGAGGACGCTAACTGTATTCTGAAAATACTAAATTATCAACGTTGTGGGTGAGAGGAAATAAACACAATAACTATTATGAGAGAAGCAGTACTATGGAAACTAATAGGGCTAAAAGTTGATAAGTTTCCTCAAGTATGTCAATTGCATCTTGGAATTATAAATGAGGTAGCTACAGAGATAGTGAATGAACTCATAGTAAGAGCATTAATATTCCAAGAACCATTGTGTTCAGGAAAAGTCTTAGAGGACTGGAAACTGCATATGTTATATGCTGACTGAAAAAGGCAGAGAGACAGAAAAAACAGAGCTAGTCAGCTTCCCATAGTTATACAGCAAGAAACAGACCCTTCGGTCCAACCAGTCCATGCTGAACATAATCCCAAACCAAACTAGTCCCACCTGCCTGCTTCTGGCCCATATCCCTCCAAACGTTCCTATTCCTGTACTTATCCAAATGTCTTTTAGATCTTGTAATTGTACCCACATCCACTACTTCCTCAGGAAGATCATTGCACACTGAACAACCCACTGTGTTTTTAAAAAAAAAAAAAGCCCCTCATGTTTTTTTTTAAATCTGTCTCCTCTCACCTTAGAAATGTGCCCCCTAATCTTGAAATCCCCCACACCAGGGAAAAAACAACTACCATTAACTCTATCTATACTCCTCATTATTTTATAAACTTCTTTAATGTTGTGTCTCAATCTCTTCTGTTCCAGTGTTAAAGTCTGTTCTACAGGATATAATAGCAGAACATTTAGAAATGCATAACATACTTCAAGCAGAGTCAGCATGGCTTCATGAAGAAGAAGTTATTCCTGAAAAGTTTATTACAGCTCTTTGATGCAGTCACAAGCAGGGTAGATAAAGGGGAACCAATAGATGTAACATGGTGTTAGGGGTAGTATATTAACATGGAAGAGATTTGGCTAACTAACAGATGACGGAAAACCAAAAGAACTGCGGGTGCTGGAAATCAGAAACAAAAACAGAAATTATTGGAAAAATTCAGCACGTTAGGCAACATCTGTGGCAAGAAAGCAGAGTTAATGATTTGGGTCCAGTGATCCTTCTTCAGAACAGAATAGATGACAGAGTTAGGATAAAGAGGGTATTTTCAGTTTGGCAACCTGCGACTAGTAGAGTGTCACAGGAATAAGTGTTGGAGCCACAATTATTTATAATATATTTAATGACCTGGATGAGGAAAGTGAATGTAGTATCACCATGTTTGCAGGTAACACAAGTAGTTGCAAAGGAAGTAGAGAGGATGATACTGAATCGACAGAGGGCTACAGATGGGTTAAGTGAGTGGGGGAAAAATTTGACAGAGGGAATGTAGTGTGAAAAAATGTGACATTATGCACTTTGGCAGAATGGATAAAAGAGCTGAATGTTATTTATATGGGGAAAGATTGCAGAAAGCTCCTGTACACAGGGATTTACGGCTCCTTGTGTATGAATCACAAAAAGCTAGTACACAAGCTCAACCGGCAATAGGGAAGGCAGATGGAATATAAGTCTTTATTTTAAAAGAAATATAAAAGTATTTAAAAAGGGAGGTTTTGCTAAAATTGTGCAAGTCACAAGTCAGACACAGCTGAAATACCATGAACAGTTTTGCTTCCCTTGTCTAAAGAAAGATAAACTGGCATGGGAGGCAGTTAAAAGACAGTTGATTCAAGCTCTAAAAGATTTTCGTATGAGGAGAGGTTGAGTTGTACTCATTGAAGTTTTGAAGAATGAGAGGAGAGGACATAATCTCAGAGTAAGGCATCACCGATTTAAGACGGAGATGAGAGGATTTTTTGAGTGTAGTTATATTTTGGAATTGTTTACTGCAGAGGACTGTGAAGTATATTCAAGGCTGAGACAGACAGATGTTTAATCAACAATTGTGGGATAAGGCAGAAAAGTGGAGTTGGGGATTATCAGATCAGCCATGATCTCACTGGCGGAACAGAATTGCTGGATTGAATAGTCGTCTTCTACATATTATGATCTTAGGATATAACACAGCTTGGTAAGGGTATTTGTTAAATAATTAACAATTAACTTATTTAATGTTTTCCATTGCTGTTGATTTTAATTAAATAAATCAGCATTTTGGGTATGTCATCCAATTTAAATGCTGTTCAGTTAATTAATTGACAAGAGGATGATTTCTTGGAAATATGATATTCTTGGCTTATCCTGTATGTTTTCATATTCTCGTGGGCAATATCCAGAACATTGTTTGCATAGCAGTTCTCCAAATAATTGATGTTTGAGTTGGAGATTCCAGGATGTAGATGGATTTAGCTAATTGGGCATCAGACTATGAAAAGTCCAGAGGGTGGCAGCATTGGCAAAGTTTGGTCATTTATGTAAAGTTAATACTTTAAATTTTAATTATAGTGCTGGATCTCAGATTAGACAAATCTCCTAGTTGCTAAGTCATCAGGGACCACATGGACAAATAAAATGCATGTTAGGGAAATTCTGCAACAAGGAGCTTCATGGAAATTACTTCGGAAATTACAACTTCTGATGCTCCCAAGGAACCTCCATGAAAGTCTTCAACTCTAAGTTAGAGTTGGCTACTTTGGACAGTTACACTGTACTTTTCTAGATAATTATCCAGTAGATTTTGATGTGTTTAAAATTTTGTCTAGCATCCGGGTAATTGAGTCACATCTGAAGGCATCTTCACTCTATACAAGTTCATGGAATATGATTATTAGCGAAATGGCATGCTCTGCAGAACCACCTTAACTCAATTCACAACAGTCTCGATGTCTACACTTCCCCAGAGTTGCATTTTTCTGACCATTCAATTATATGTCAGTTCACAGTATGGACAGCTCTGGCTAAAATCACCCAGCTCCTCCGTTTACCTGGACTGCTGTCACACTCTTTACATTCTCTCTATGCCATTGACTGCCTGAAACTTGACCATCTCACCTTGTGCTTGTTTCTTTACACACATACATGCAAACATGTAAATCTATGGGGTAAATTTGTATTTGCAGATACATCCTATTTTCTTCAAAAAGCACACAGCTTATAGACAGTCAATGTGGCGTTTTATGAATTCCTACTTTAGAAATAAAATCAGTCTGACTTCAAACTAAAACGCATACAGATTCTAAACAAGGCCTCCCACCTAACATGCATTGTCTGACCTAAAATGTCACCTCCTCTTTACACTGATAAAACCTTTAGTTCTCACAGGACAGGGACTTGAAAGGAATTTGGGGATTTACATATACACACTAATTGATTAAAATCTTCTAACTGGTTAAAGATTTAACAGCATCCTAGCTTTGTTTAGTACATCCTCATCAGTGGTGTGACCCTTTGATCTTTTACTTATAAATTCCGTGTCTGATACGACCTCTCTCACTAATACTTGAAGAAGGCGTATGACTCCAAACGCTTGTGTTTTCAAACAAACCTGTTGAACTATAACCTGGTGTAATGTGATTTCTGACCTTTTTTTTCGATCTTTCTTTTTCAATACATTTCTTTAGCAACTAAAGTGCGGGGATGCTTTAACCGAAGTCGCATGTAACAGCCAGGGAATTTGATTGATCAACCAACCTGGACTTGATTTTTGTTTCAATTGGGGACTACCTCAAAAAGAAATGTTTCTGAATCATTTAACCATGACAGACTGAAGGTTATTTGTCATAACTGATGTAACAACAGCATCTATTGCATTTACAAAGTCTTTATTTCAGCTGACATAAAGTACAGTGTTATAAACTGACGTATTGAACCATTTAAAGTTTCAATTTGATTTTGCTGTAAAATCAGGTTTTTGATCTATATCTACTTCAGTAGGGAATAGCATTTTTTTAATAGTGTTGTTTCTAACGTGCTACATTCTTATTAGACACAATATTTTATGGTTATGTTCTATCGCATTGATTTGCACATTTATTTCTTTAGTTCAGCTGTATCACCCAATGTTAAAACCAATGTGCATATATACTTAAAACAATTCTGTATGCTTATATAGGGATGTTGCCCAATACCTGACAGTTTGTTTGGAAAATAATAGGGTATGGTTTAACTCCAATTAACAACAAACCAGGGTGGACACAGTAAAACAATAGTAATTGTTTCATAATCAATGGTTTCAGAGGTGCCACACCCGTTGTGTGTCGAATAAGACAGCTGCCCTATGGTCCTCTGGGATGATGGCAACTTTACTTTTTAATACTCTTGATTTTATATAACATTTAGAATCTGTTCTCCTAATCTTTGTGTTTACTTGTGTTTCAGTGGGTGCAGTAACTGTCATAAGTCCCTTGGAACTAATCAGAACGAAGAGTCAGTCTCGTAAGCTGACGTATAGAGAACTAGGTAGTGTTGTTCGGATTGCAATAGCACAAGATGGATGGCTTTCTCTCTGGAGGGGCTGGGGACCCACTGTGCTCAGAGATGTGCCATTTTCAGGTTAGTCTGATGAAAGCTACGTGCTCCAAGAATTACTGCTTCTGGTAAAATCTGTTATAAAGTAGTTGATTGGAAATTTGCCTTGAAAGTAATTCAGCATCTAAACCAAGTTTAGTTAAATCATTAAATCTCTTTCCTTATGTTGCAGCGATGTTCTTTGTGCTCTTGTCATTGACTTACACAACAGTCTATACTCTGTTTTGCCTGTTCCAGACCTTCAGAACCTCATTAAAGAACTTTGGTGTCTGCTCCTTCAGCTATTTTCTTCCTTTGCTTGTTCTATAATCTTTGCCTGAATGGACTTTACCTTTAAAAGATGTTGGCTACCTTAGAGTTTTTGACTCTTCCCATCCCAGTCGGTGCACACTCATTGAATAGCATAGGCTTGCTGGCTCTGTGCACAAATTATTAGCAGGCAGAATGGCCGATGCAAGAGTGGTCACTTCTTTTTCCCTTTAGCTAAGAAGAGAGGCTGGATAAGGTCATGTTGTTTGCTTTAGAGAATATTGAGGGGGTACCAGATTGAGGGGCATGGACAGAGTGGATGGAAGGCAGTTGTTCCCTGTGTTTGACAGGTCACTAATAAGAGAACACAATTTTAAGGTGAAAGGCAGAAGGTTTAGAGGGGAATTGAGAAAAGTATTTTTCACCCAGGGAGTTGTGGGAGTGTGGAAGGGTAGTTTAGGTGGGTAACCTCGCAACCTTTAACAAGTACTGGATGAGCACTTGAAATGTCGTAACATTCAAGGCTGTGGGCCAGGTGGTGGAAAGTGGAAGTAGTGTAGATTTGTTGTAGTTTTTGTTGGTGCAGGCTTTTTGGGCTGAAGGGCCTCTTCTGGTACTGTATAATTAACTTAGAAATGAGAAACCAAATTTGGCCATTCAGCCCTTTGGGTCTGTCCTGCCATTCAGTATAATCATAGCTAATCCTTTATCTCAATGCCATAGTCTTAAGTTTCTCCCCATACCCCTTCATTCCTTTAAAGCCTAGAAAATACATTTCTTGAATCAATTTCTTATATTTCTATGTGTCTACGTTGTATGATTCTGATTCTCACCATGCCTTCTTGCACTTATTAATTTAGCCACACTCCCCGGAATGAGATAAGTTAGAGGTAAAACTATGGAGGAAATGATATGCCTTTTAGCTAACAAGAAAAAAGGCAGTTAGTGAAGCTATTTGTTGGAGGAAGGCATGATCAGAGAGTATAAAATTTCTGCAACTGAAATTTGAGGTTTCCCAAAACTTCTCATCTTTGGGTATACTGTTTATAAGTATCGTTTTGTCTTAATATATGAAAAACCGAGACTTTTCATTTTGTGCCTTGATCCCTCACAGACAATAGCATTAAACTGGTGTAACGATAATAATTATAACAAGGTCCCACAAACAAATTTAAATAAGTGATCAAAAATCTATTATGGTGATATTGCTTGAGAAATGGATGTTGATTAAGTCACTAAGAAAGTTTGTCTTTTTGAATAACAGCAACAGGATCTTTTCCTATTCGGCCAGACCTTGGCTTAACGTGTAATCCAAATAATCAGATCAAAGTGAAACTAAAGTATTGCATGGTAGTTAAGTTAGCCAAACCAATGGTAGATTAAATATTAGGAAGATGGTTGAGTAGGAACAGGGAAGGAAAACTATTGAAAGGAAAATCAACATGATCCATGCTGGTCGATTTTCTATCAGCAACTATTTAAACTCTCAGTAATACTGGTGTTCTTTGCTCAAGTAAGAATTGGTGTAAATACAAAGGGATTTATACAATAAAACTATTTAAGATATATATTGTCTTTGGCTTTGGTACAGTATTTCAGTTTAAGATATTAAATTATTTACACCTATAGTTGCCTGGATAGATCTGAATCATCTATAAAAAATGGCGCACACATACCTGAAAGAAATAAATTGTTTTCATTTTGTTTAATTTTTTTTCAGTTCTATTAGTAGTCCTTTTTTGTTTTTTGATGAAAGAAGTAAAACAGCAGGAAATTGACTGTGTCCTTTAATAAGTGTAATGGCAAGACTGACTTATGAAGAGAGACTGGGGAGGTTAGTATTTGCTGGAGTTTAGAAGAATCAGGGGGAATCTCATTGAAACCTATAAAATTCTAACAGGACTACAGAGGGTAAATGCAGAAAGGGGAAGCCAGAACCTGAGTTATGCCACTGGGACTTTGAGGAGCAATTTCTTCATTCACACAGCAGCGAGCCTGTGACATTTTCTGCCAGAGAAAACAACTGAAGTCAAAACATTGAATATTCAAGGAGTTAAATGTGGCTCTTAGGGCTAAAGTGAGCAAAGGATGTGGCAAGAAAGCAGAATCAGATGATAGAATGGTAGAATCGGCGAAATGACCTACTCCTATTTTCTGTGCTTCTATATTTGAACAAAGAGCAAAGAAAATTACAGCACAAGAACAGGTCCTTCGGCCTTCCAAGCCTGCGCCGATCCAGATCCTCTATCTAAACCTGTCGCCTATTTTCCAAGGATCTGTATCCCTCTGCTCCCTGCCCATTCATGTATCTGTCTAGATATATCTTAAATGACACTATCGTGCCCGCCTCTACCACCTCCGCTGGCAACGCGTTCCAGGCACCCACCACCCTCTGTGTAAAGAACTTTCCACGCATATCTCACTTAAACTTTTCCCCTCTCACCTTGAAATCGTGACCCCTAGTAATTGAGTCCCCCACTCTGGGGAAAAAGCTTCTTGATATCCAGCCTGTCTATACCTCTCATGATTTTGTAGACCTCAATCAGGTCCCCCCTCAACCTCTGTCTTTCTAATGTAAATAATCCTAATCTACTCAACCTCCCTTCATAGCTAGCGCCCTCCATACCAGGCAGCATCCTGGTGAACCTCCTCTGCACCCTCTCCAAAGCATCCACATCCTTTTGGTAATGTGCCGACCGGAACTGTACACAGTATTCCAAATGTGGTCGAACCAAAGTCCTATACAACTGTAACATGACCTGCCAACTCTTGTACTCAGTAGCCCGTCCGATGAATGAAAGCATGCCGTATGCCTTCTTGACCACTCTATCCACCTGCGTTGCCACCTTCAGGGTACAATGGACCTGAACACCCAGATCTCTCTGTGCATCAGTTTTCCCCAGGGCTTTTCCATTTGCGTATAGTTCGCTCTTGAATTGGATCTTCCAAAATGCATCACCTCACATTTGCCTGGATTGAACTCTATCTGCCATTTCTCCGCCCAACTCTCCAATCTATATATATTCTGCTGCATTCTCCGACAGTCCCCTTCACTCTCTGCTACTCCACCAATCTTAGTGTCATCTGCAAACTTGCTAATCAGACCATCTATACCTTCCTCCAGATCATTTGTGTATATCACAAACAACAGTGGTCTCAACATGGATCCCTGTGGAGCACCACTGGTCACAGTTCTCCATTTTGAGAAACTCCCTTCCACTAAACTCTGTCTCCTGTTGCCCAGCCAGTCCTCTATCCATCTAGCTAGTACACCCTGGACCCCATGCGACTTCACTTTCTCCATCAGCCTACCATGGGGAACCTTACCAAACGCCTTACTGAAGTCCATGTATATGACATCTGCAGCCTTTCCCTCATCTATCAACTTTGTCACTTCCTCAAAGAATTCTATCAAATTGGTAAGACATGACCTTCCCTTCACAAAACCATGCTGTCTATCACTAATAAGCCCATTTTCTTCCAAATGTAAATAGAGCTTATCCCTCAGTATCTTCTCTAGCAGCTTCCCCATCACTGACGTCAGGCTCACCGGTCTGTAATTTCCTGGATCATCCTTGCTACCCTTCTTAAACAAGGGGACAACATTAGCAATTCTCCAGTCCTCTGGGACCTTCCCCGTGCTCAAGGATGCTGCAAAGTTATCTGTTAAGGCCCCAGCTATTTCCTCTCTCGCTTCCCTCAGTAACCTGGGATAGATCCCATCTGGACCTGGGGACTTGTCCACCGTAATGCCTTTTAGAATACCCAACACTTACCCCCTCCTTATGCTGACTTGACCTAGAGTAATCGAACATCTATCCCTAACCTCAACATCCGTCATGTCCCTCTCCTCAGTGAATACCGATGCAAAGTACTCATTAAGAATCTCACTCATTTTCTTTGACTCCTCGCATAACTTCCCTCCTTTGTCCTTGAGTGGGCCAACCCTTTCTCTAGTTACCCTCTTGCTCCTTATGTATGAATAAAAGGCTTTGGGATTTTCCTTAACCCTGTTTGCTAAAGATATTTCATGACTCCTTTTAGCCCTCTTAATTCCTCGTTTCAGATTGGTCCTACTTTCCCGATATTCTTCCAAAGTTTCGTTTCGTCTGTTTTCAGTCGCCTAGACATTATGTATGCTTCCTTTTTCCTCTTTGCTGGAATCACAATTTCACCTGTCATCCATGGTTCCCTAATCATGCCCTTTCTATCCCTCATTTTCACAGGGACATGTCTGTCCTGCACTCTAATCAACCTCTCTTTAAAAGCCTCCCACATATCAAATATGGATTTACCCTCAAACAGCTGCTCCCAATCCACATTCCCCAGCTCCTGTCGAATTTTGCTATAGTTGGCCTTCGCCCAATTCAGCACTCTTCCTTTAGGACCACTCTCGTCTTTGTCCATCAGTATTCTAAAACTTACAGAATTGTGATCACTATTCCCAAAGTAATCCCCTACTGAAACTTCAACCACCTAGCTGGGCTCATTCCCCGACACCAGGTCTAGTATGGCCCCTTGCTGAGTTGGACTATTTACATACTGCTCTATAAAACCCTCCTGGATGCTCCTTACAAATTCTGCTCCATCTAAACCCCTAACACTAAGTGAATCCCAGTCAATGTTGGGAAAATTAAAATCTCCCATCACCACCACCCTGTTGCTCCTACATCTTTCCATAATCTGTCTACATATTTGTGCCTCTATCTCACGCTCACTGTTGGGAGGCCTGTAGTGCAGCCCCAACATTGTTACCGCACCCTTCCTATTTCTGAGCTCTGCCCATATTGCCTCACTGCTCAAGTTCTCCATAGTGCCCTCCTTCGGCACAGCTGTGATATCCTTTTTGACCAGTAATGCAACTCATCCACCCCTTTTACCTCCCTCTCTGTCCCGCCTGAAGCATCTATATCCTGGGACATTTAGTTGCCAATCTTGCCCTTCCCTCAACCAAGTCTCAGTAATAGCAATAACATCATAATCCCAGGTACTAATCCAAGCCCTAAGTTCATCTGCCTTACCTACTACACTTCTCGCATTAAAACAAATGCACCTCAGACCACCTGTCCCTCTGCGTTCATCATCTGCTCTCTGCCTCCTCTTCCCCTTAGTCACACTGACTTCATTATCTAGTTCCTTACAGGCTTTAGTTACTACATCCTTACTGTCCACTAACCTCCTCATTTGGTTCCCATCCCCCTGCCACATTAGTTTAAACCCTCCCCACCAGCGTTAGCAAAAACAGCCCCTAGGACATTGGCTCCAGTCCTGCCCAGGTCTAGACCGTCCGATTTGTAATAGTCCCACCTCCCCCAGAACCAGTCCCAATGTCCCAAAAATCTGAACCCCTCCCTCCTGCACCATCTCTCAAGCCACTCATTTATCCTGCCTATTCTTTCATTTCTACTCTGACTAGCACGTGGCACTGGTAGCAATCCTGAGATTACTACCTCTTTTGCAACAAAAACTTTTGTAATGAGTACCAAAACAACTTTAATCTTTCAAATTAATTTGTTGAAATTATTGGCTTTAGAAATGGATATTCATTTTTGTTGCAAGAAATATAAATGGTAAACAAAGGCAAATTACAAACTGAAGCAGACATAATTAGCCATCCACAATCCTCCTTAATTAAGGATAATGGGTATGAATTCTGGTCATTGAGGGAAAGTGATTTTCTTTGCCCTGAGGAACTGTTTTACTGCTATTTGGCAGCATGATGTTATACAATGTAAGAAAGCTTGAGGATGAGAAAAGTAGTTTATCAAACGTAATGCTTCCACATACATTGTTTACAATCTATACCATCAACTTAGTCTACTAAGAGAACATTTTTTTTTTTAACATTTCTTCTTCACCAATAAAGTAATCAAATAGAAGTTGAAAATGTTCATACATTTTCACAATCATTCTGGGCCTGGTGGCATCCATCATACTCCACCCTTTCTCCCCCACACATACCATCTACCTGTCACAAAATCTTAAGAAGCACTGGATTTAGATAGGCATTTTCATACAGATAACATCGAAGTGTGGAGGGCTGTTTGATAAATTGCGTGATGTAGCAGAAATTGGGTGTCTGTTGCACGTTTGATTTCTAAACTAGATACGCTACTTAGATTAAACATTTTTGACCATTCCCGTGTCTCAACCATCTCTCAAATCCACAAACCAGTATTTTCGTGCATCTGAATCTTGGATAAATGTAATGAGGCACAGGATTGAACAGAGAACTTCTATCATTTTGTTCTATCTTACTTGAACAGGGATATCTACTATTACACAATCCTCTTATCTTTGCTAGGTAATGATATTTACATAAATATACATTTCCCCTCAGAGTACTACTCAACAGACAAGTTTATTTAACTTTGAATTTATTTCATTTAATTGTAGTTAGCAATTTAAGTTTAATTACAGTAACTTCTTTGCTTTTCTTAATGTGGATAACGAAAAGCTTGATTTTCTTATTCTCCCTTTTGACGCAAATTTAATTTTGAGATTTGGTTGCTCACTAATGTGGGAGAATGCTACCATTAAGTTAGGTTTATTGTGAACATTATGCAAGTTTTAGACTGACTAGTATGAAGTAGAGGGGCAATGGTGTGTAGGGAGGTAATGATGTTGTGTTCCAGTCACTTTGCTAATAATCCAGAGACTGAGTCTAAAGCTCTGTGGATATAAATTCGAATCCCACCATGACAAATAGTGAAATTTGAATTTGATTCCTAAATCTGGAATTAAAATTTTGGTCTCGTGATGACCATGAAACCATTGACAATTGCCATAAAAACCCATCTGGTTCGGTAGTATCTTTCAGGGAGGGAGTATCTGTCATCCTCCCCTCATTGGCCCATATATATATATGACTCCCAATCCACAGCAACATGTGGTGAGCCATAAATGCCCCCTGAAATAGTCTAGTAAGCCACTCAGTTGTACCTAGTCACTACAAAGTCTGATAACAGATATGAAACCAGATAGACCAGCCAGCATTGACCAAAGCACTGGAACTAATGGTGATACACACAGCCCTAGTGATCCCGCAAAGTTCTCCATGCTAACATTTGAAGACTCATGGAAAATTGGGAGAACTGTCCCACTGACTGTCATTCTCACTGAATCATACCTTAAAGTCAACATCTAGCCATGCCCATCATCATCTCCATCCTTGGGTATATCCTATCCCAGCAGCAGGAAAGACCGATCAGAGGTGATGTCACAGTGGCGTACCGTTGGGAGGGTCTAGCCCCCGGAATCCTCAGTATTGACTCCAGAAGCCATAAAGAATCAGGGTAACAGGTCAGACATGGACTGAAAAAGCCCCTAATAGTGTTACTTTCTCTCTGTCTTTTCATTCTTTTAGGAACATACTTTAAAATTTGTGCAATAAATTGTCTAAATTAAAATTGATGTCGACATCCATTAATCCCTTATTGATGGTTCTCAGTGTAAAAATTAGACTTATTATTTAAGGTATGGTCAGGGCTGTCCATGCAATGAGCTAAACACAATGTGGTGCCAGTCATTTTGGCACATTTCATTTGTCAGATTTGATATGACACTTGAGGTTATGCCGAAAGAAATGTCTTTGCTTATTATTTTCCTTTCTGTGCAGAATCTCAATTTCTGTTCTGTGCCTTATCTCTAATTGCTCTAACTTTGATTCAGCTACAGCACCACTTGAGGCCTCTTAATTAAATACTTTTTCAATCTGACATTTCATTATTTTATCAGGAAGGAGTGCACTTGATTTCTCTTGAGACAAGTGACAGCATTGCTTGTGTTTGCTCAGGTGCTGACTGTAAGTTATTAGATCAGTAATGCAGTGTAAGAATCAAATGTTGACCATTTACAAAGGTAAATGCACAGGTGTTTTCTTTTCTTCTTGGCAATTAAATCGTATTGAGCAGTTGCCTGAAAACAAAACACTTGCTGAATCAAAAATAACTGGTGAATTTCTACATTAGTCTACATGCACTTTGTTTAGGTGTGATTGGTGTGTAATGAGAAGGTGTGTTGCCTGGAAATGGAGAGCTTTGCAAGAGTTTTAATTCAACTGTGTGTCCCCACAGCAATTTACTGGTTTAATTATGAGCTGCTGAAGAGCCAGTTATGCAAGAAATACAATATCAGTGAACCTACATTAACGATCAGTTTTTCCTCAGGAGCATCATCAGGCGCAGTAAGTCTGATTCTAGTTATGTAAATATTACTGAAGGGTATAATTGGTAATTTTAGATAACAAGTTGAAACCAGATGTTTTTCTCCATAAACTTGTACTAACAAAGTATTTATTTACTATTCAACATTTTAGAGGTCATGATTTTCGTACAGTTGTGGTTAATCTTAAATATTTGTGCAAGAGCAAGATTATTATATACAAATTAAATCGTAAATAACTACAACGAAATATAACATCCTTTAAAACATTTTCCATGCCCATTAGTACTTCAGAGAATTATCGGTTTAGTTTTGTGTTGAAATACTTAAGTGTTTTAGTGTTTTTTAGCATGTTGTTCAAGAAATTTGAAAGCCTGGGATATCCTAAAAGGATGTTGATGCAAAATGGCAATCTGAATACTGAAGTTGTTTGAGAGGTTGTCCACAGTATCATTATTTGATCATAATTGATCCCAATTTTTTCTATGGAAAAGTACTGTGCCACTACCATATTTCAGCATAATCTTTTTTAATATCTGGTATAAATGTTTCAGAATTGTGCATCTTTCATCCCAAAACCCTTTTTCACACTTTTCTATGACTTCTGAGAATGAATTAATATCTTTAGTGATAGGTAGCTGGAATTTGTGAATATTCTCTTGATTTGTGTACTATAACAGCTCTAATCCATAGGGTAATGTAATTCCTAATGTCACACCTTGCTGGGGAAATACAGTGGAAATGACGTACTGCTATTCCTGGCGTCATTGCAAAAGTTAAAAGATTTTATCAATGTTCACACAATTGTCCAATTTACCAGTCTGTTAGACAGGTGCTAAGAGAAACCATGCACCAGGTTTCTGTACTTAACAAGAATTATTATTTGTTACAAATAAAGATTCTAGCTACATGTAAACACCTTTGAACAATTGACATACAACTCTACTCATTAAAATGCTGACTGCCTTTATAAAACTTGCCCCTATGCGTACGCACAGACAGAAAAACATTGGTACTATGGATGGCAAGGAAAAACTGGAAGGTAATTCAGTGGACCACTTTCCACAGGGCTCACTGACAATCTTGTTGCTTGTCAGGACACTGCTATTCGTCAGTTTGTCTTCTCTATGTTGTTTTCACTTGATTGCAACAGGTACAGAGTGACTTGTTCACAAAATTACAAAGTCTCTTGGTTAAAAGCTACAGGTTACAGCAACTGGTAAGGAGAAATAAATGATCTTTCCTCAGGATTTAGATTTTGTTTAGTGCAGAGAGATAGAGAGAAAGAGTAACCACCTCCTTTCAGAGGTCCAAAGGCTTCTTACCATATCATTCACAGCCACATGTTTTTCAGCTACTTGAATTAGTTGTTGGCAGGCAGAAGGCTTTTGTCACCAACAACTAGTCACCACTCTCCAGACCAATCAACTACTCATGGCCAGCCAAATCTCACTTTGTGCACACAGCCTGGTCCAAGTTTATCTGTAACTAACCTTCCTCAGCAGCAGTGTAAAGACAACGTACAGTAAGTGTTAATAACTTGCCTTTTCAAAAGTGTAGCAATCCATTCCACAATACTTGGCTTTTAAAGCCGTCATTTTCCATTCTAGTCCACAATGCAAAATACAAAAAAAAATATTGAAGTGTTCTTTATAAATGGCAAAACCATCTTTTTACACACTTTACCTAGTGTTTCTGCTGAAATTGCTGTTTAGAAATTTGATGAGATTCCACATTGGGATGTCTAAAATTGCACTGTATCTTTTAGATGTGGCCTCATCATTCATAAATACAACATTTGAAGACCAGTAGCCCAGATTTTCCCCTTTTAATGGCAGCGAGATTGTCAACATTATGGCATCATTTCAATTGTGAAGCTAATTTGGAAAAAGAAAAGTTGCCGTCAGTAAAAAAAAATTACTATTTATGCTTCAGATTTGCAGTTAAACCCACAGAACACACTAAAGAAACATTTTGATGAATGAGGTCTAAATAGGTTTTTAATATTTTCCAAGTCATAATTATTGCTAAATAACTCTTCCAGCTCTATAAAATTAGTTTTATATATTATGGAATACCAAATTCCGTATCATGTTAAAGATGTCCTTCAACATTATTATAATTTTTAAGTTTGACATGTTGGCTATCTTCATCACGTTTTTATGTCCCATCTTTTCATTACACTGAAAAATGATCAGGAAGTGAAAGACAATCAGGTATTTTACATCCTGGTTTGTTGTCTGACAATTGTTCATGATAGTTTGCTTGGTGACATCATTACAGGATGCTGGAAATTTTCTATTGTTAGCACCAGAATCAGATTCAACATTTATGATCCCAGCTGATTTTATAATTGGAGAAGTCCAACCCCAGACTGAAGTCTAACTTGCTGGATCAATTTTCTTGTATTTAACAAGATTGTGTTTCAATGAAACACAAGCAAGCAATACTGCAGATCATGTTTTAATTGTAAAACCAAAGTTTATTATCCAAAAGAACAGATAAAATGAATAAACCAAGCTATTTATGTATGAGACAAATTGAAAGATTTCAAATACAATTACAATGCAAAATGCCATCTATCTCAGTACTGTCCTTTTACTGTATTCAAACATTGCAGCTAAGTCTTCTCTCTATCACATCTATTAGTTTTACTGAACTGATCCTTTCAACTTCCGATTTTGAAAGTTTGATAGCCTCCTCCTTGAATAGCCATACAACTGAGCTTAGACTTTCTCAGCTTTGAATGACCCTTCAGGGTTGTAACAAATGCTTCTCGTATGGAATTTTGAAACTAAAATCTTTACACTGTGTTAACCTATTGCCTGACTTTTCAAAATTAACTCCGTTCTCTAGAAGAAACTTGCATAAACCGACTTCAACTAGATGTTCTATGAATTGAAACTAAAAGCTTTAAGCTGTGGGTGTTTCTACTGACCAAAAAAAATTCAGATTCTTCTAATTGAAAGCAAGCTCATACTCTTCAGTATTTACCCTGTCTGCTTGTACAACTCTCCCAAAATAAACAATTTACCATGGCCACTTCAAGAAATTTCTCTCATCCTGTTTTTTTCTTTAAAAAAGGCTGCAGAAATACTGACAAGTTAATTATTAAACGCCCTCATACACAAACCAAAAAGCTTCATACCACTTATTCAAAATCCGGCCTCAAAAGTGATATTACAATATATGTAAATCATGCATCTTACATCACACATTGCAACAAGTGAAAGTCATTGCAGAGATTACTAAATTGTACTCAGTTTTGTCCAACGTCAGCTCTGAACATCACCAGTGAAAACACTTCTAATCAAAAACTCATGAAGAAAATCTTTTCAACATCTATGTAATTGGTTGCAACTTAACTAACCCCAACAAAACTAGATTTTAACTTTTTATTGGTACTAAACACTGTACATCAGAAAGTAATGTTAAAACTGCTGACCAAATTTTTGTCCTTTAAAGGTCACATTACTCCGTAGTGAGTATTGGTCTGTAAGTTTGGGTAGGCAGCTTGTGTTTTAACTTCTGTATCTTCAGAACCATGCTAAGAGGAGGTTAAATACAGTTGCTCATATATAAACAGTTCTGACATTGCATCTCTTAGTGCATTACAAAGCTGATGTGAATCCAAGTGTGATATCATTTTTGTAGTATAGCAGCAAATTATTGGAATGCTCATAACAGGAATGGTGAGTTGAGACAGTAAAGATTGCAATTAGATTTTAAAATTTAAACTGTCTATGTATTTTGGATGCAATCTGCATTGTATAATATCTACAGTGCTAAAGATAATGTGGTAAAATTTCCTTGGAGTATGTCTGAAGTATGGCATGCCTGAAATGGAATACACCATGGGGAAAAATGCATTTTGTAATTTCGACTTGGACTAGTTTTAAGGCTTAAGCCCTACTCTCACCTTCCCTTGGTAGACTGTCAGTTAACCTTCTGGTCACCAGCTTTAGGATAATCTGGTTGTTTCTTTGTTATTTTCATGATTATATTAAGGTTGTATGCACTATTACTGCCCATCCAAAGAAAATACATAAGAGTAGAATTAGGCCATTCGATCCATCGAGTCTGCTCCGCCATTTGATCAAGGCTGTCATGTTTCTCAACCCCATTCTCCTTCCTTCTCCATAACCCTTGATCCCCCTACACCAATCAAGAACCTGTCTATCTCTGTCTTAAATTCACTTAATGACTTGGCCGCTGCAGCCTTCTGTGGCAATGGGTTCCACAGGTTCACCACCTCTGGCTGAAGAAATTCCTGTGTTCTAATGGGTTCTCCATTCACTCTGAGGTCCTAGTCTTTCCTACTGGTGGAAATATTTTCTCCACGTCCACTCTATCAGGTCTCCTGAGCATTCTGTAAGTTTCAACAGATCCCCCCCCATCCTTCTAAACTCCATTGAGCATAGACCCAGTGTCCTCTTCATCCCCAGGATCGTTGTTGTAAACCTCTAGACCCCCTCCACATCCTTCCTTAGACAAGGGGACCAAAACTGCTCAATGTTCCAAATGTGGTCTGACCAGAGCCTTAGCAGGCCATTTCTGCTGTTACATTCTAATCGCCTTGAAATGAATGCTAACATTGCATTTGTCTTCCTAACTGCCAACTGAACCTCCATGTTAACATTAAGAGAAGCCTGAACTAGGATTAAGTCCCTTTATGCTTTAGGTTTATGATAGTTCTTCCTACCAAGTGCATAACCTCACACTTATATCTGCCACTTCTTTGTCCATTCTCCTAGCCTGTCCAAATCCTTCTGCAGCCTCCCCACTTCTCAACTTTACTTGCCCCTTCACCTATCTTTGTGTAATCTGCAAACATAGCAACAGTGTTCTCAGTTCCTTTATCCACATAGTTGATGTGTAACATGAATAGTAACAGTCCCAACCTCACTTGTCACTGGCTGCCATCCTGAAAAAGACCCCTTTATCCCCACTGTCTGCCTTCTGCCAGTTAGCAAATCTTCCATCCATGCCAGTATCTTTCCCCTACTACCAGGGGCTCTTATCTTATTTAGCAGCCTCCTGTGCAGCACTTGTCAGAGGCGTTTTGGAAATCCAAACAGTTCACGTGCACTGGCTCTCCTTTGTCTAACTTGCTCATTACCTCCTCAAAGAATTCTAACAGATTTATCAGGCATGACCTCCCCTTGATGAAGCCGAGCTGACTTGGCTGTTTTTACCATGCGTTTCTAAGTACACTGCAGTCTTATCCTTGATAATGGACTCTAAAATCTTACCAACGACTGAGGTCAGGCTAACTGGCCTGCAGTCTCCTGTCTTCTGTCTCGCTCCCTTCTTAATGTGCGTGTTACATTAGCACCTTGTATAAGATGGTGTAATGATGGGTAGAAGGGACATTTTGATGTAACGATACCCTAGGAACTCCGCATTCTCCAGCACAAGTGACCCATCCAAATTTTGTATTCGTACCACCATTTTCTAACAAGTTGGCAGGGCACCATAAAACTTCAAAATGAAAGTGAGTTACAGATTGGATTTCTGTGCCCTTTTGTTTGGTGCACAAAGCCACCTTCTTGCAGGGTAGAAAGGCCATAATGAAGCCGTTACTCTGCCTATTAAAAAGTATTTCATAGTAACGTAAGTTTGTGTGTGTGTGTGTGTGTGTGTATATATATATGGATGGGAGGATGCACCTTGCAGCAGATTTACTTCCACCAACTTTTCTTTTAGACCAGTCACAAACTGATATCTATTTTCTCAAAATAATTTAAACTTTACTTTATCAGTTATATGAAAATAGGAATGAATGCTGTAGTATGTTGCCAATATGATCATTTCTTTCAGATTGCAGCTGTATTGACTTTACCATTTGATGTGGTGAAAACCCGCAGACAAATTGAACTTGGAGAGCTGAACACAATGAGTATGTAACTTTGAGTTATGTTTGACTCAGGACTTTTGTTTGACTTATTTTCTGCTACTCACAGTCCAGATTGGCAATTTTACTGGTGTGTAGTAAGTAGAAAATGATTGGATTTAACGTTTTTAATAAGCTTTCTATATATTTCATTACCACTATGGGAGACATTTCATGGAAATGTATAGTGGTGAATGGGTATTGATGTGCTACAGCTTGACATGGGGGTGGGCCCTCAGAGGCTTGGGGCATGGCCTGGTATGAGGGGCAGTTGCGGTGATGGGTGCATCATAGATATGGGAGAGGCATAACCTGACCCGGGAATACAAATTAACTTTCAAAAGGTTGCTTCCTTTCTTGACTACGGTCCATAACCGTTCTGAGGTGCCATGGACCATACTAGTTTTAAGAAAGAAAGTGGCACAACTCCATGAAAATTATGAAGGACCATAAAAAGGCATTCCCAAAAATTGGAAATCCTGGAAATGGCTTTGGGAATCCTGAAATCAGGGCTAGCATGCCATTTTAAAGAGCTCCCAAGTTACCCTGATTTACTGAAAAATCCAGGTTAATATTTCAGATCCTTGATCTTTCATCAGAAACCATCAGAACAGCTTGAGGGAACTAATGCCCTGTTTTATTTTAAATTCATTCAAAGGATGTAAGCTTTGCTAGCTGGGCCAGCATTTTATTGCTTATTCCTAGTCTTCCTAGAAAAGACGGTAGTGAGCCATTGCCTTGAACACTGTAGTACACTTATGTAAGTGCAACTGCATTGCTGCTTAGGAGGGAGTGCCAGGATTTTCACCCAGTGATAGCGAGAGAATGGCAAAATATCTCCATGTCATAATGGTGAGTTGCTTAAAGGGGAGCTTGCAGGTGATGGTGTTCTCATGCATCTGAGATAGTAGGAACTGCAGATGCTGGAGAATCCGAGACAACCAGATGCAGAGCTGGATGAACACAGCAGGCCAAGCAGCATCATAGGAGCAGGAAGGCTGACATTTCAGGCCCAGACCGTTCATCAGAAATGGGGAAGGGGAAGGGGGTTCTGAAATAAATAGGGACATCATCAGCCTCCCCCTCTCTCCCTATTTATTTCAGAACCCCCTTCCCCTCCCCCATTTCTGATGAAGGGTCTAGGCCCACAACGTCAGCCTTTCTGCTCCAATGATGCTGCTTGGCCTGCTGTTCTCGTGCATCTGCCGCTTTTGCTCTCCTAGATGGTAATGGTTGCTTGTATGGAAGGTGCTGTCTAAGGATTCTTGGTAAATGTCAACAGTAGGTCTTGTAAATGGTGCACACTACTGCTGCTGAGACATTAGAGGTGATGAATGTTGATATGGCGCCAGTTAAATGGGTTACATTGTCCTGGATGGTGTCAGACTTTGGGTGTTTATGGAGCTGCAGTCATCCAGGCAAGTGGGAAGTATTCCATCACACTTCTGACTTGTGCCTTGTAGATGGTGGACAGGCTTTGGGGAGTTAGGTGGTGAATTATTCCTAACCTCCAACCTGGTTTTGCAGCCACAGTTTTTAGATGGTTCGTCCACTTTGATTTCTGGTCAATGATAACCCCAAGATGTTGACAGTGGGGGTTCGGTGAGGGCAGTGCCAGTGAGTGTTATGGAGTAGTGGCTGGATTCTCTTTTGTGGGAGATGATCATTGCCTAGCACTGTGTGGCATGAATGTTACTTGCCACTTGTCAGCACAAGCTTGGATATTGTCCCAGTCTTACTGCATTTGGACACAGATTGCTTCTGTATCCAAGGAGTCACAAATAGTGCTGTATACTGTGCAATGATCAGTGAGCATCCCTACTTCTGAACTTTATGATACAGAGTAGGTCGTTGATGAAGCAGCTTATGATGGTGTGGTCTAGGACACTACACTGAGGAAATCCTGCAACGAAGAAAACAAATTGCTGGAAAAGCTCAGCAGGTCTGGCAGCATCTGTGAAGAAAAAAAATCAGTTAACGTTTTGGGCCTGGTGACCCTTCCTCAGGGACGTCCTGAGGCTGAGATGGTTGACCTCCAACAACCACAACCATCTTTCTTTGAGCTAGACGTGACTTCAGTCAACAGAGTCCCCCTGATTTCCATTGACTTTAATTTTGCTTTGGTTCCTCAATATCAGACTCTGTCAAAGTGGCTTGATGTCAAGGGCAGTCACTCTCATGTACCCTCTGGCTCCAGCTCTTTTGTCCATGTTTGGTCAGGAGCTTGGTTAGAGACAAAAAACTGCAGATGCTGGAATCCAAGGTAGACAAACTGGAGGCTGGAAGAACACAGCAGGCCAGGCAGCATCTGGAGAAAAGGAGCAGTTAGTGTTTCGGGTACTACCCTTCTTCAGGAGCTGAATGGCTCTGGTGGAAAAAAACCGCATCATTGCGCAGATGCTGTTTGGCAGCGCTGTTGCTGACACCTTCCATCATTTTATTGCTGATCAAGAGAAGACTGGAACTTCTGGACTTGTCCCATTTTTGTGTACAAGATATACTTGGGCACCATTTCCAAAATCAATGCCAGTTGGTCTGTTCTGTTTCAATTCTTTTGAGACTTAATGGTTTTGATACAGTTTAGTGGGTTGCTTCGCCATTTGAGAATGTAGTTCAGAGTTGACCACATTGCTGTACGTCTGAGGTAATGTGGAGGCTGACTTCCTTCCCTAAAAGGTATTCATGAACCAGGTGGCTTTTTACAACAATCAACTGTGGTTTCATGGTGATTTTTAGTGTTTTCATTCTAGATTTTTTTAACTGAGTTTAAAATCCAAACATCCGCTGTGCTGGAATTTGAACCCTGCTCACCAGAACATTGCCATTACTAGTCCAGCAACAATATCTCTACACAATCGCTTCCTCTAAGAATCTGCAGCTATTTTCCCATGAATAGCAATGAAATGAACATCCAGATGATCTTAGTCTTCAGGTTAGCAGGAATATTGTTTAGAACAGCAGAGAGTTCTCCAAATCTTCTCCAAAACAACTCCATGAAATTTGGGATAGTAGGAACTGCAGATGCTGGAGAATCCGAGACAACAAGGTGCAGGGCTGGATGAACACAGCAGGCCAAGCAGCATCATAGGAGCAGAGAGGCTGACGTTTCGGGCCTAGACCCTTCATCAGAAAAGGGGGAGGGGAAGGGGGTTTTGAAATAAATAGGGAGAGAGTTGGAGGCGGATAGAGGAGAGGATAGGTGGAGAGGAAACAAACAGGTCGGAGAGGAAACAAACAGGTCGAAGAGGCGGGGATGGGGCCAGGAAAGGTGAGTGTAGGTAGGGAGTTAGGAAGGGGATAGGTCAGTCCAGGGAGGACGGACAGGTCAAGGGGGCGGGATGAGGTTGGTCGGTAGGAGATGGAGGTGCGGCTTGAGGTGGGAGGAGGGGATAGGTGGGAGGAAGAACAGGTTAGGGAGGTAGGGACGAGCTGGACTGGTTTTGGGATGCGGTGGGGGGAGGGGAGATTTTGAAACTTGTGAAATCCACATTGATACCATTGGGCTGCAGGGTTCCCAAGCGGAATATGAGTTGCTGTTCCTGCAACCTTCGGGTGGCATCGTTGTGGCACTGCAGGAGGCCCAGGATGGACATGTCGTCTGAGGAATGGGAGGGGGAGTTGAAATGGTTCGCGACTGGGAGGTGCAGTTGTTTGTTGCGAACCGAGCGTAGGGTCCATGAAATTTGGGTCCTCTTTTGTTTGTGATTCACGTAAATGTTCTGGATGAGAATATAGAAGGCATAGTTAGTAAGTTTGCAGATGACATCAAAATTGGTGGTATAGTAGATAGTGAAGAAGATTTTCTGAGATTACAACGGGATCTTGATCAAATGGGTCAATGGGCTGAAAAATGGCAGATGGAGTTCAATCTGGATAAATACGAGGTATTGCATTTTGGTACAACAAACAAGGATAGGACTTATTCATTTAATGGTTGGGTCTTGGGTAGTGTTGTGGAACAGAGTGACCTAGGGATGCAGGTACATAATGCTTTGAAGTTTGTGTCACATATAGACAGGGTGGTTAAAAAGGCATTTGGCACGCTTGCCTTCATTGCTCAGTATAGGAGTTGGGAAGTCATATTGAGGTTGTACAGGACATTGAGGCCTGTTCTGAAATACTGTGTCCAGGTCTGGTCGCACTGCTATAGGAAGGATAATATTAAGCTGGAGAGGGTTCAGAAGAGATTTACCAGGATGTTGCCAGGTATGGAAGGTTTGGGTAATAAAGAAAGGCTGGATAGGCTGGGACTTTTTTCAGAGGTTGAGAAGTGACCTTATAGAAGTTTATAAAATAATGAGGGGTATAGATAGAGTTAATGGTAGTTGTTTTTTTTCCTAGGATGGGAGATTTCAAGATTAGGGGACACGTTTTTAAGGTGAGAGGAGAGACAGTTAAAGAAGACATGAGGGACAATTTTTTTTTTAAACACAGAGTGGTACGTATGTAGAATGAACTTCCAGAGGAAGTGGTGGATGTGGGTACAATTGCAATGTTTAAAAGACATTTGGATAGATACATGAATAGGAAAGGTTTGGAGGCCAGGAGTAGGCAGGTGGGACTAGTTTTTGTTTAGCATTATGTTTGGTGTGGACTCATTGGACTGAAGGGTCTGTTTTCTTGCTGTATGATTCTATTATATAATTTTAGTTCCACATTTTATATGGCTATCAAAAGAACTGCAGTTCTGACCATAAAACCTCTCCCTCGGCCCTGCGTTATCATTCTGGATAATTAGCTCAAGTTGTAAAATAAGGTTTGAAATCTACTATCCAGCCAAATGATGTGCTGAGTCAAGCTGATATGCTTATTAGTTAAACCCTTCAACCTCCATACATGGAGACTCCACCACCAGAATCTCTACAAATGGCCAAATAACCCAACAAGAGGTTTCTGTTGTCCTCTAACGTGGATATCATGTTCCCAGCTTCAAAATCTCAAATCTGTATCTGATGCAGTACAGTCAAATATCAGTAATCATTATTTTCCAGAATCGCGAAGAACTTTAACCTCCACCTGGAAAATAATGGAAAGAATTGTAACGGAGTCTGGATTTAGAGGTTTATTTGTTGGTAAGTCTGAATTTAGCACATGGATTAGAGTTGTTTTATTAGTGAAATTTGAGCTTGCATTGTGACCATTAGATACATTGCAGCATTGGTGTATGTTTGTTGTGTACTTGACATTTGACTTTTGCAGGAAGTAATTTCTAATTTTCTGTCAATAAGTGTGGAGCTGGAAAAGCACAGCAGGTCAGACAGCATCCAAGGAGTAGGGAAGTCAACATTTCAGGCCGAAACGCTTCGGCAGGCCTGGTGGGGTGGTGGGGTGGTGTTGGGGGGAGGTGGTAATTGTTTCATTTGTAGTTTGTTCACAATTAATTTTGTGCAAGAACATAAATCTGTTTCATCTCATAACACCCATACATTTTCTAGTGCTGGCCCCTCTGAATCCAATCTAACTGGGCACTAAATTCTATATTCACATTCGGATATCCAGCTTCCAGGTGTCATTTTTAGCAGTTCAAGCCTCAATGCCAACACCTGTCTCCAGCATAAAATATGATCCAGTTTTGTATATATCACCTTAATATTCTAAGCCTTAGATTTCCAGTTATTGTAAACCAGGCATTACTAAGTGTGACAGTGTTTAACAGTCCAGAAAGAGGCCCTTCAGCCCATTGCATCTGTGCTAGTCATCAAACCCTGACCTATTCTAATCCCACGATCCAGCACTTGGCCCATAGCTTTGTATTCTACAGTGCTTCCTGTGATCAGCCAGATATTTGAAATGTTCTAATAGTTCCCACCTCTACCACTCTTTTCAGTCATTGAGTTTCAGATACCCACACCATCCTCTTGGTGAAATGATGCTTTCTTCAATCCCTTATAAACCATCTACCCTTCACTTTAAATTTCGTCCTATCTAGCACATCTGTACTCAGTTTGTAAAACAATCAGGTCATCCCTCAACCTCGTCTGTTCAAAGGAAAACAACTCCAGCCTATTTGGGGTCCCCGACCCAAAACGTCAGCTTTCCTGTTCCTCTGATGCTGCCTGGCCTGCTGTGTTTCTCCAGCATCTGCAATTCTTGCTATCCCAGCCTATCTGGTCTGTCTTCATGGCTGAAATGCTCCAGCCCAGGCAACATCCTAGGGAATCTCCTCTGCACTTTCTTTGGTGCGGTCACATCCTTTCTTCCAATATCCATCATGAAGGTTGCTGCTCCTTCAGTTATTACTCAACAGGTTGGTCTAGGATGGAGGCTGTATTTGTTACAGCTACATCCAAATTTTCTCCTAGAATAGAACATTAGTAGTAGTAAGCAGTTCAGGCTGTCCACCACTCTGCTATTTAATACAACAATGGATGATCTCATCTCAGTCTCAACTCCACCTTGCCTACCCCCTCCCCCAACTATTTAAACCTTTACTAATTAAAAATCTGTCTATATCTGCAACTTTATTCAGTGTTCCAGCACCCACCACACTTTGTAGTAGTCATGACCCTTTGAGAAAAGTAATTCCTCGTTTGTTTTAAATCTGCTACTAAGCCTAAAACTATGATCTCTCACCCTAGATTGCTTCATCTTGTGAAACATCTCCCGTACATCTGTGTTTAGCCCACATCATAAACCAAATTTTATAAGATGTGCCATACATGTCCTTTATGTATCACACAAACCCATGAAACAAGACTGATGGGGCATATCTCTATGTACCCCAAGTTTAATTGCCTCAGCATTTTGCTGGCATAGTATTTCTAAGAGATGCAGGAGAAAAATGGCGTTTGTTTATACTCATCACGGTCCCAAAAATAATTGAGCCTGTTAAAAATGGCATTTGCTCTAACTCAAAATGTATTGGTGAGTGGAATTGGTTATTGTAGCTGTCACTTGTATTTTGTCATCATTCACTTCAAAATTGTCTTTTCATGCCAAAGTGGAATACATTAAAATTTATTTTTAGGGTTCTTATTAGGTTAAACAACACAAACTTGGGTCCTGGGGAGTGTTGCTGAACAAAGAGACCTTAGAGTCCAGGTTCATGATCAATTGAAAGTAGAGTCATAAGTAGACAGATAGTGAAGAAGGTATTTGATATATTTGGTTTTATTGGTCAGTGCATTGCAAGTAGGAGTTGGGAGGACCTATTGCAGCTGTACAGGACATTGGCTAGGCCGCTTTTGGAATACTGTGCGATTCTAGTCTCTCTGCGATAGGAAGGATATTGTGAAACTTGAAAGGATTCAGAAAAGATTTACAAGGATATTGCCCGGACTGGAGGGTTTGAGCTATAGGAAGAGACTGAATAGGCTGGGGCTACCTTCCCTGCAGCATCGGGGGCTGAGGATTGACCTTACAGAGGTTTATAAAATCATAAGGGGCATGGATAAGTTGAATATTCAAGGTCTTTTCCCCTGGGGTGGGGGAGTCCAAAACTAGAGGGGACAGTAAGGTGAGAGGTGAAAGATTTAAAAGGGACCTAAGGGATAAACGTTTTTACACACAGTGCGGTGCATGTATGGAAAGAGCTGCCAGAGGAAGTAGTGGAGGCTGGTACATTACAACATTTAAAAGGCATCTGGATGGGTATATGATTAGGAAAGGTTTAGAGGGTCAGGGGCTAAATGCTGGCACATGGGGTTAAATTAGTTTGGGCTATTCATTTGGCATGGATGAGTAGGACTGAAAGGTCTGTTTCCATGATGTATGACTCATACTAAATTAGTAAGATTTGTTTCATAAGTGTAAGAATGAGTACATTAGTATAGTAAATAATAGTCTTCTGGATATAAATTATTTCTACTTTATTCTGCAGGTTTGTTGCCTCGATTAATGAAAGTAGCACCAGCATGTGCTATTATGATCAGTTCCTATGAATATGGGAAGTCATTTTTTCGTAAAATAAACAGAGAGCGGGAACTGAAAAGGGACCTACAGTCAGACATCAGTTGAGAGAATCCATACAGCCGGAGTTTGAAGAAATCAAACTATGGGGATGCACTTCTTGCCAAGTTAAAACCTAAATTATAGACGAAAGATTCAAACATGACCTATACCTGTTATACAAAGGGGTGACCTTGGAAAATGAAACATTGTGAAGATGGAAATGAATTATTTGAAGAATGCATTTTCTGACTGCTTTATGCTTACATTCACTAAAAGTTGTTCACCATTGTGGCTCACATTCAAAGGCTGAGTCATAATGATTTGAAAGTTGTAGAAATAAGAAGATTCACATTAAAGAAAAACAATAGGAACCAATTACACTATTTTATATTGTACAGTTCGTAACTCTACATCAACAAGGATTTGCAACCTAGGGAGGTAAGAAATAGATCTTGAAGTTGTATCTTGTCTTAATTGGATGTTTAAAATGCAACTGTAGAAATTTTAAGTGCAATACTAAACAGAAATGACCTGTCCTACCAGTAGATATAAGCAAGCAATGAAGTCTACTGCCAGATCAGATGAACAAAATTGGACTTGGTGGAATTGTTTATCGGAACAGTCAATTTATTGCAATGAAGATTTCCTGAAACCAGAGTAAATATTAATTTGTGGAATTTTGTTTATATTGAGAAATGTGATTTGGTGTCAAATGTGCCTTTTTGTAAAATAAACAAATTGCACACCTTATCAGCAGCCTTTGTGGTTTCAGTAATGTACTCAGGTGTATGAGTACAACTGGAAGTAATATTTTTATCTTTTCATTTTTGCTTCTTATATTAATTTATATTTCCCCTTCCTAAAAGCAACAAGTATACCAAATTCTAGGAGAAAAACTATGCTAGAGTAGTCAAAAGATGGATATGAGCTTGCTTTGCCAATTCGATTAATGAGGGTAGGGAAAGAGTCTTGTACAAAGTGGGGAAAGTGTTCTTATAGATTGTGCAGTCTACTGTTTCTAATAGATACTAGCTAAAAGCAATTTAAGTGGTGATTTTCAAGAACTATTGGAAAGGTTCTAATGGTGTAGTGGTAGTATCCCTACCTCTGGAACAGAAGGCCTGGGTTCAAGTCCCACCTTCTTTAGATTGATACTTTCCTAATCAAGCTGCTCAGATGTTATTATACAAGAACTATTGGAAGATTTAACCTGCAGTTTTAGGAGGTTTGACTGCCTCCAGCAATGCCCAGGATGGTTCTGTCCTGGTCTTAATGGACACTGGTCGGCAAGAAGCACTTCCATGGGAACATTCAGATTAGTAGCAGGTGTAGGCCATCTTAATGCCTCTAATCTGCTTCACCATGTGCAGTAAGGTCATGATGTATATCATTGCTCCACATTCCCATCTACCCCCTTGCTCACCGAGAAACCATCTACCTCTGTCTTAAAAATATTTACAGACTCTGCTTCCACGTTTTACAAAGAATAGAGTCCCAAGGATTTACCAGCCTGTATGGGGAAATATAAAGTTCTCATCTCACGTAGGAAGTTGCCTATTTTTAAGTGGTGACTCCAGGTTCTAGATTCTCCCACAAAATTAAAACACTTTCTACATTTACCCTGTGAAAACACCTCAGGATCTTTATATGTTTCAAAGAATTTACCTCTTGCTTTTTTAAACTCCAGCAAATACAAGTCAATGCAGGTATTAGTCTGGTGAACATCTCAGCTGCTTCCAACGCGTTTTATATTTTTCCTTAAATATGGAAACCAGTACAGTACATAGTACTCAGTGGTCTCACAGATGTTCTGCACAACTGAAGCATAGCCATCTTACTTTTGCATTCCATTCGTCTTTGAGCAATAACATTGTTAGCTTTCCTAATTATTTACTGTATTTGCTTACTAACCTTGTGCAATTTCATACACTAGAACACCCAAATCCTTCTGCAGCTCAGAGCTATGAAAACTCACTGTTTAAGTAGTATGCTGTTTTATTCTTCATGTAAAAATGTACAACTTCATGTTTTCATTGTACTCCATTTGCCAGATCTTTTCCCACTTACCTGATATACTTGTATCTGTTTGTAGTCTGCTTATGTCCTGTTCAAACTTATATTCCCCAACTTTGATCGCTTCATTAAGTCACTTATAGAATTTGTAAAATGTTGAGGTCCCAGTGCTATCCCTGTGGCACACCACTCCATTTTCTGGTTGGCAAGATGTAACTTTATCCCTACTGTCATTAGCTAGGCCACCTGTCCATACTAGTATTACCCTGTACACAGCGACCTTTTATTTTGTGCAATTACCTTTGTGGCACCATACAAAATGCTGTCTGGAATTCCATGTATAGCACCACCAGTTCCTTTTGTCCAGACCATCTTTCTTCCACAAAGGACTCTAACAAATTGGTGAAACATGAATTCACAAAACCATATTGGTCCTGGTATAACCTCTTTAATAATATCCAATATCTTCAGTGTGACAGACGTTAAACTAACTGTAGTTTTATACTTGGTCTCTCTCTTTATTTAAAGAGCTACATTTGCTATTTTCTAATCTAATGAAACATCCAAACCCAAGGATTTTTTTCCTTATTAGGTAAACTATCTTACTAGGCACTTATGTTAGGACCCAGGGACTTGTCAGGCTGTCGTTAGAACAATGTGCTTAGTACCATTTCCCTGGTGGTCGTAATTTTCTTCATTCTTCTTAACTGGCTCATTAGTGAAAAAATTCAGAATAATGGGGAAAAAATGAACTACATATCCCAACAGCGGCATTTTACTTCATGTGATTATTTAACTATTCTGAAGGCATTAGAAAGCAGTAGACACTGCCATGCTGAGATCCAACACAAGTCTGTCATAGGTTATGTGAAAGTTTCTGTAGCGTTGTCACTTAACTTTGCTTGCCTCTGAGTGAAACTGCTTCTTTTAGTAATAGCAGCGTAGCCAGAGTAATGGTCGTGTATATAAGCAGACAGCTACATTTTCACACCTTGAAACAAAAACACTACTGTTATGGGGTCAAATTCATGGAATAAAACAGGACAACAAATATTTCATACTTGAGAGAGGAAGTCTTATCACCGTGAAGTTTAAAGTTCTCACTACAAAGATACTTTCAAGCTTTTTACAGATTGAAGTATGGAAATTGTAATATGCATGCTGCAATGTGTCTCACATTATCTGTATTCCCACAGACTTCCAGAAGTAATGTCTGTTCCTTAACCTGTGACCAACTGAGCTGCAGTATCAAGAAGATATTCTTTTTGCCAGTCTTCGTACATCTGTGGTTCCATTTTGCTTTTACAATAAGACTAAAAATGTAACCCTTAACTAACAAACCGATTCAGCCATTTCACAGTGATAGTCAATTTACCAAAGCACTGAATTTGTTCTCTTTGTGTTGATATATGTGCTAGTCTAATTACCTGGTTGAGAGAGAGAGAGAATGTGAACGTATGTTATGCAGTATAAACTGTAATCATTTTAACTCTGGCACAATATAGTAATTAGCATTGGGCATCCAGAATCTATTAACCCATTTCTTCCTAATTATTTTTCTCTAAAATCTGATACCTTTTCTATACTAAATGGCTTTCATGTCCAAATCTCAGCAGTCAGTATGGCATATTGTTCAGTGCATGGAGTTCCTAGGTTATTAGCATTACAGATACCAATCTGCAATGAATTAAATTTACTCCATGTCATAGCAAAAATAAAATAGCTGCAGGACCTAGATTTAGCAAAGGCTAGGTGTCCTGAAAAATCCCCACTGTAAGATTGAAGCCAGGATGTTCCAGAATTAACTGCATCCTTAGCTAAGCTGTGCCAGTGCAGCTCCAACACTGGCCTCTGCTCGATTACGTATGTATTATATTCAAGCAGCAAAGTATTGGAAGATTTCATTGGATGATGTTGGGATCTGCCACTTTGCTTCAAACTTCATTGCAGCCTTGGTCCAAACGTGTATAAAAGTAATTCTGAAGGTGACTGTTCCTGACATTAAGGTTCACTTGGAAAACTGAAGTCTTAGCTAGCAGCAAGAAAGATGGTTGTGGTTGTTGGAGGTCAATCAGTTTTAGTCCTATGACATTACTCTATGGCATTCGACCAAGGTATTCCTGCAGTAGTTGGAGTAATACAGCATGGAAATAGGTCCTTCAGCCCAAACTGGTCCATATTGACCATGGTGCCCACTGAGCTAGTTCCAATTGCCCACAATTGGTCCATAACCCTCTAAACCCTTCTCATCCATGTACCTATTTTTAAATGTTGCTATTGTACCTGTCTCAACCACTTTCTCTGGCAGCCCATTCCATATACGCACCACTGTGTGAAGAAATTTCCCCTCAGGTCCTTCTTAAATCTATCCCCTCTCGCCTTAAACCTATGCCCTCTAATTTTCAATTCCCCATCCCTGGGAAAAAGACTATATGCATTCATCCTATCTATGCCCCTCATGATTTTATACACCTCATTAAGGTTACCCCTCGCTCTACATTCCAAGGAATAAAGTCCTATCCTGGCCAACCTTTCCCTATAACTCAGACCTACTGGTCCTGGCAACATCCTTATAAATGTTCTTTGCACACTTTACAGTTTAACTATGTCTTTCTTGTTACAGGGTGGCCAAAACTGTACACAATACTGCAAGTGCAGCCTCATTGACGACTTACACAACTGTAACACAACATCCCAACTCCTATACTCAATGCTTCGACTGATTAAGACCAGCATGCTAAATGCCTTCTTTACTACCCTGTCCACCTGTGACATCGCTTTCAACGAACTAACTATGTACTTGTACTCCTAGGTCCTTGTGTTGTGGACCTTACCATTTACCGAAGTCCTACCTTGGTTCGACTTTCCAAATGCAACATCTCACATTTATCTGTATTGAATTGCATTTACCAATCCTCGGCCCACTTCCCCATCTGATCAAGATCCCTCTAATTTTTGATAAACTTCTTTGCTATCAATGATACCTCCTAATTTTGTATCATCCGCAAACTTACTGATCATGCTTTGTACATTCACATCCAGACCATTTATGTAAATTAAAAATAACCAAGGTCCCCGCACCGACCCCTCACCACTAGTCACAGGCCTGCAGTCAGAGAAACAACCTTCAACCATCACCCTCTGCTTCCTACCACTGGATGCAAAACTGGTTCAATTAGCTAGCTCTCCCTGGATCCCACGCTACCTCACCTTCTTGACTAGCCTGCTGTGCAGGACCTTGTCAAAGGCTTTACTTACTAAAGTCCATATAGACATCATCAGTTGCCCTACCCTCATCTATCCTCTTGGTTACCTCAGTTTTTCGAAGATTTGTCAGACATGACTTCCCACGCACAAATCCATGCTGACTATTCCTAATCAGACCTTGACTATCCAAATGTTGGTCGATCCTGTCCCTCAGTATCCTCTCCAATAACTTGCCTACCACTGATGTTACGCTCACTGGCCCGTAGCTAATCTTTGCTACCTTAAACAATGGAATAACATTAGCCACCTTCCAGTCTTCCAGAACTTCACCAGTGGCTAAAGATGAGGCAAAAATCTCTGCAAGGGCCTCTGCAATTTCTTCCCTAGCCTCCCACAACATCCAAGGATGGACTTGATCAGGCCCAGGGGATTTATCTACCTTAACAAATTTTAAGGCTGCAAACACCTCTCTGGTAATGTATGTGCCGTCCAAAACATCCCCACTTGTGTTCCTTATTTCCTTAGCATCC